AGCATTGCAATGCTTCCAAGGAAGGCTGGGCATGGATGCTTTAGCAGTTATCTACAGCCAACCGATCAGAGGATTCTCATGCAATCCTGCCTGATCTAAAGTTTGGCTCTCTTGCACGGCTCTTATCTGTTCGTATGTTGATCATGTTTTCCCCATAGACGCAGTTCTCATTAAGAGAATATTTTCCACTCTTCAAAAATAGTGAGGGGGGAAAGCTGTAGTGAACAATTTCCTATCTAGTGGTACAGTTGTTAAAGGGCACAGAAGCCTGCCAGGAAAACAAAGAAGCAGATGGCTCCTTAATACCTCAGCATGTTTGCTGCGGTCTGTTGTTTTAATTTTCCCCAATATTTTGGTCTCTCTCTGTTCCCTTTCTCATTACTCCAGTGCGCTCAAGTTCCTTCCCTGTACATCTGTTGTCATAACTGAACGTATAGGCTACAACTTAGCTAGAGTGTCCATTAACTCATTATAGACACCCTTTAGTTTAGATGCAAAAAATCTGGACAACCCCCGGATCAGGGGTGTCAAACTCCGTGACCTGACAAATGCGCGCACGACAAAACCGCGCCGACAAAACCGTGGCGAGAAAACTGCAATGTCATAAACGCGCCGACAACAACACGCCGACAACAACGCGCCCACAAAAGCGCGATTTAAGTTAAGGTAAGGGTTAGGGTTAGGCTTAGGTTTAGGGTTAGGGTTATTAGGTTGTTATTAATTGTTTGCTGAAGGCGCGCTTTTGTCAGCGTGCTGTTGTCGGCGCACTTTTGTGCGCATTTGTTGGTGCAATTTTGACCTCGCGGTTTTCTCGGCGCAGTTTCGGTGACGCGCTTTTGTCCCGCGTGTATTTGTCGGTGAACTGTCAAACTCACGCCATCATGACGGTGTCACGTGACATATCGGGACTTTTGCCCCCCCTCACTAAACCGGACATGGGCGTGGCCAGCATGTGACACATCCGGCCCACGGGCCTGGAGCTTGATAGCCCTGCCCTAGATGATAACAAAGCATCGCCATCTAGTAGCCATTTGGATATATGCAGCCCAGATGTGGCATATCTAATTCTAATCCATTTGGTAGTTGTTACAAAAAAATGGCTATCTTTATTTAGACTGATAAGGATGGTGGCTCTTACTGACATTCCTTTTGCTACACAAGGATACAGAAGGGTAACATCCGTTCTTGCACATGCATGCGCACACATATAAACACCAGGAACCTACATTTTTAGGATGAAGATTTCATTCTTGGCTGCTCTTCGCACTTTGCGTCCATCTTTCTTGAGAAATTTCTTGCAGATGTACAGCCTGTCTGTTTGTCGTTCACGGGCCACACAGATCTCACAGAATTCCTTCCTGTGGAATAGCAATCAGAAAGAACCCTGTTTTTTTTTAATGGCTAGCAATGTTATGTTTTCCAAAAAAAAATGTTACATGGTATACAGCCTAAATGGAAAGAGATGTCTACTTCCTGTTGTTTATAAAGCATCAAGTAATTAAAACCGTTTTAGCTATCACAATTAATAGACAATGAGAAACTATATTTTACATGCACTCTGGTTAGGATCAAAGAAAGGAAAACAGACTGGACAGATTTCAAAGCCAAATATGATCACCATTTTTCAGCCTTTCCTGCCTCATGTGGAAATATGATGTCTGTGTGAAAGGCAGAAGAGTGTACAGTGTTTTAGCTCCTTGTAGTAGAGAAAAGAAAATATAAATAGAATTAATAAGTAAGGCAAGACACCATGGCAAACTTGAAACATCTAGAATTCCTTCGTGTATTTGGGGTAAGATAAAAGTGATTGATTTTATTTCCAAGTTTGATTTACATTTTGGGAAGCCTTGCATAAACAGTTTTTTTTTAAGCCATTGAATAAATTTATTCAGCAAGGACATAAAACAGAATCACCTGTAAAGAAAAGTGGACTTCCTAACTTTCAGCCTTATCACTGGCATTTATCTAATTGCTGACTGGAGTAAGAACTTCAGCTCAGTTTAACAGGGGTTGAGTGACCTCACGAAAATCCTAGCACGGAATGGGATTCTTGCTTATGCTCTTAAAGCTGTAAGGTATCCTATATGGAAAATATTGGACTGCAGTTGTAATTTTTAGCTATAAGTAGTTCTTGACTAATAGCCATAATGGAACCGAGAACTGTCACACAACAAAGTTAAATCCATCTAAACAGGCACAGGACTAAAAATACTACATGGTCAATGATACAAATAATACAGAAAATACCACAGAGGCTCCACTAGCTAGTAACAACCATATTATCTGGAAACTGAACCAGATCTAAAGGGCTTTTTGGCCCTTAACGTTATTCCAGAGGGTGTGGGCCACAATAGAGAACATAGAGGAATTGTTCCATTGGAATAGTTTTCTCATCCTTTTAACTCTTATTAACATGATTATTAGTTTTGGTGATCTGACATTAGCAATATTGTTGTATGCATAAATACTATCTCTCTGTATTCATTAAGCGGCTTAATCTTTATGTTAAAAAAGTTTGAAATTGAGTTGTGTTATATTATAAATACCATATGGCCTGGAAGACTGTCGGTTTGGCAGTCAGAACGGGAAGTCATCTACTAGCTATTGCTCATCCTTCTCAGTAGACAGTAATGCAGTTGCAATCAGATAAGCTATTTCACAGGACCTATGTTGCTGTTCCTTCCTCCTGCTGCTCGTAGCAAATTGGCTAACCAGGTACAGGCTGAGCTGAATCTCCGTATCCACTGAGCGTCATAGACAGCATTTCACGAACCCCATCGCAAAGAGCAAGGCGAGCAAAGAGAGGGGGGCTATTAATCCACAGTGGAAAAGAGGTCGTAGATCCACAACCAGGAGATACAAGACTCAGAACCTTGAATGTACCGGTAGCAGCAGAGAAAGTAGTGTACCTGTTCCGTAATTTGAAATCCATGTGCTTATTTCATAATAGGCTGACTTTGAGAAGATACCACAGTGTGTTGGATGTGGCACAGTGGTGGGATTCAGCCAGTTCACACCTATTCGGGAGAACCGGTTGGTAACTTTTTAAGTAGTTCAGAGAACCAATTGTTGGAAGAAATCTCCTTTAGTTTTTTCCCCACTTTACAGGGCTA